TTAATTACATCTGGCTGCTGGTTGTTGCTGTTGTACAAACACTTGTGGTTTTAATTTCGACATAACTAAAGGTTTCTGAAGCTTATTAAATATAGAGAAGTGATTTATTAAGCATTTGCAGGAAAATAAATTCTTTCAGCTGCAGTGAAAGCATTATAGATCAGTTTTCCAGCTAAAAGGTTCCACAATCCTAAAACATCCTGCAGTATTTTCTGTAATAGCCATATAGAGGGGACATCAGTGTCAATTTTCTGTCGCAAAAAACATCTGAGGAGGATTTAGATCAGCATTGTATTCAGCTAACAACAGACGTGTGGTTCACCTACTCAGTTAAAATCACTGGAGCTGATGCAAAACAACTGCTGTTACATAACTGAAACCGTCCTTTATTTTTGTGCATTAGGTGGATTTTGACTGCAGTCATTTCAGGAGCAAACATCTGGAATCCTTATTGGCTGCCTGGATTAAAATGTCTGGATTTGTCTGTCTGGAGTCTCCTCTCAGGTGTTGAACAGTGTTTTATGAAGGACATGTTAGACATCAGTGGCAGACTTTCAAACGTAAATCAGAAGCAGTCAAAACACTTCTTCCTCCCTTTTCCTGCCCCACAGTTGGCTGCACCAGAGGCAAGCTCGGCCAGTTTAATGGGTTCTCCCAAAATGCACCGATGTTGGATTTTACGACCAACACTAATTTTTAGGGAGTTAAGAATTTCAGTATTGATGTCGACATACTGTACGTTAGAGTTATTTTAATGGTTTATTTCACTGGAGATGTTAATTAACTTTCCACCAATGTATTTCAAACTATTTAGCAAATTACCATGAGGACACCACTTGACTGCCCAGCACTGTCTGCTCAGCTGTGATACATACTCTGCTACATGTGCTGCAGAAAGTGCAAGAGACAAATTATGTGGTGGTACCATTTCTAAATTATTCCAAGGTTCCTTTTCTACATTGTGTTCTGTGGAAAGTGAGACAACATATATGCCAATATCAGTACATCTATGAAAGGTCAATATTGGCCACTAACATCATCGGACTAATGTATTGGTCTGGCTATAGATTAATCGTACCCATTTAACAATGTTGAAAAGAGACAAAGTCCTTCACAAAAAAGTTTGACATCTTGGGAAATATCTTTTTTTTGTTTGTTTGTTTTTACTGCTGGCAGACAGCTTAGCTTAGTTGAAACCAGGAGACAGAGATACACTTACTCCTACATCAACAAGCATTCAATGAAATGTAATTTTAAAGAAGGTCAATTCTGTGATTTCTGATTTCAACGTAAATGGTCTGCACTTATATAGCGCTTTTCTACCTTTGCGGCACTCAAAGCGCTTTACAATGTTTCTCATTCACCCATTCACACACACATTCATACACCAAATGGCGACAGAGCTGCCATGCAAGGCGCTAATCTACCATTGGGAGCCATTTGGGGTTCAGTGTCTTGCCCAAGGACACTTCGGCATGTGGGGGGGAACCGGGGATCGAACCGCCAACCTTGCCATCAGTGGACAACCCGCTCTACCACCTGATTATACCAATTAAGGGCTTTCAAGTGCAGTAGCCATGTTGTTAATCCTACAGCTCACAGTTAGAAATGAACCAGCAGTTTCTTTCATCATGCCAGCAGTAAAACCACTTGGAAATGCTGGAGGATGTTGAAAAACAACTTGTCTGTTGTCACATGAACATGATTTAAAAACACTGACACTGTCTGTGTTCTTTTCAGCTCAGGAGGAGTCTCGCCGCCGCAGCACAGATCAGAGAAAAAAGCTGCAACATCACCTCCTTGTATATATAATTATTGTACATATTGTTTTATAAATAAAATGTAATCATTTTTTAGATAAAGATCAGTTAAAATTTACATGAAATGTGCCTGATACCCTCTATTCTATGTCACTGACAAACAGCTGAAATACAAAAGTGTCTAGTTTGTGATTCAGACCAACTAGCTGACGTCTGAACTACAAAACGAGTTCAACATATCCAGGATATGTCTTTGTTATCTGGCTTCACTGTTTAACTCTTTTGGTGTAACTACTAGTTTGTAATAGGTTGACAGCCAATTGTAATGACAGTTATCACCAACGAACCTACGTTGACCCTGAAACACAAGTTTAACAGTCACATCATCTCCACTGAAACTGACCCCTTTGGACGCTTCATTCTCATGGTTTCACTCACAATCACTCTTTTTTCCTTATGGGTAACATCTATGGATACAACAATGTTAAAAGTTGAGCCAGCACGGAGTCGAACCTAAAATCTTCTGATCTATAATCAGACGTGTTATCCATTGCGCACTAGCACTGTGAAAACCTTATTTAGTATTTTCCCTCGTTTTTGACTCACAGGATTCTTTTTACACTGCAGCCAAATACTTCTGAACTTTCAGCCAAACATTGAACACAAACTATATTTACTGTAGACTTAAGGATTTCTTTGTAATACGACAAGTGATATAAAGTTGTTAGCTGTACCTTGACATGTTTCGGCGTCTTATCTGTCGCCTTCTTCAGAAGCGTCATCTGACGTGTGTGATGTGTCTTTATCAGCTGTTGTTCTTATACCACTTGTCGTATTACAAAGAAATCCTTTAGTCTGTTTGTATATTGAAGACAAAATGATCATCTTTGCTATATTTACTGTACTTCCATCAGTGTAGTGGTACTAGATTTCTGTGGAACTTTTGTTTGTTTGTTGTCATTCTATTTGTATTTTTAAATTTTTTTTTTTAAAGGTGATATATTTGACAGTAGTGCATTTGGCGGAATTATATCCAACTAGATGGCCCTCAGTCGAGGGATATAGTTGCCCCTGCCGGTCAAGATTGCACTGAGCCCCAATAAACCATTATTCTATCCAACTTACCACAAATAGGTGTTTTCTTTCACTAATCATGGTTGGCTGGTTGTTCAAGGTGAAATGGGTGCTATCCATGTATACACTGTATGTGATATAATATATAATGGCAATATCAACATGTTCTGACCTTGAGTCTGACCCAAGGACCCAAGATCAACTGTTACATCCCTAGTGGAAAGCCTATATATGGTTTCCAATACAAACAATGTCAATCATGCACCGTGTTCAAGTTAGAGTGCAGTCAAAATGTATGACCTTGAATTTGACCTTGAAATATCATGTGAGGTCAAATGTAACATCACCAATGGAAAGCCTCAACATGGTTGCTTATCTGCACCAAATACCATAAATCTGCCTTCCACCCTTTTGAAGGTGTATGGCTTTATTCAAAAAGTGACCTTTGACCTCTAGCAGAGCTATTTTTGCACTGATTGACCCCAAACTCAAATCATTCTGAGGAGAGGCCATTCGTAGCTCACCTGTGAAATATCAACATGTTAGACCTTAGCACTCTGGCTCCAGACTATTCACAGACACACACGCACACAGATGGGATCAAATACTCTATAGTTGCCCCCTGGTCAGGGGCAACTATAACCTGTGTAGGTAAGAAGAAGGTCTATTATGTTATGTTAGTGTTGTGGATGGAATAATGGCCTAATGTTAAAAGTTGAGACAGCCAGGAGTCAAAACCCACAAACCTCTGATCTGTAGTCAGACATGTTATCCATTCTAGGTCCACAAAAGATGTGGTTTTAAGCCCTCAGCTTTGACTCTGAGGAGCTTTTGATCAAAGTTTACAGAGGATTTAACTTGTCTTTCTCAAAGACTCTTGTCTGTCAAGACGTCCTACCATAGCTGAACACATCAGACAAGTGCAGGTTTGTGTATTTTTTAGCAGATCCTCGTGGATGATACACAACTTTAAAGACCAGCTATGAAGTCAAAGGTCAAGTAAAACTACTACTTCAACTTCTGCACTTAGTCATCAGAGGGCGCCACTGATCTTTTCTTGAGTTTAATTCTAGCCTTTTATTGTTGGCTGTGGTGACTTCTCGACGCCTTTGTTGCTATATTCTACAGAATTCCTTGGAAAACCTTGGAGGTGGAGGATTTAAGTATAATTTTACAGGATTTTCGCAACTTTACGTGCAGGTCTGGATTCGCACTTTTTGCTTTGCTCCTCCTGTTCTCATCTCAAAGGTGAGAGGCACTGTTGTTGCAGGAGATGCTGGTGTGAATGGGCTGATCCAGTTTCAAAAACTGGAGCTGCAGGAGATAGCAGGGGAAGAAAGTACTTGGGGCAACAGTGCTGCAAAAAACTTTAGTGCAAGTAGAATTTTTGTACGTTTCAGTATTAGTTTAATCAGTACTTGTATGCACATGTGATAAAAGCCCCGCAGTTTTTTCCTTTTCCTTTCTTTTCTTTTTCTGAGTGACTTCATCCATCACCAGCATCGTGCGCCCTGGTGCGCCTCACCTCCCCACAGACGTCTCCTCTCCGTCGCATCATGTGGATTATTTTGGCGTTTGTTGTGGCCGCTGCCGCTCCTGATGGGAGCTTTGGGTGTCAGCTGCCCCACGACTGGAGACCGCAGACAGAAGCGTGCCGTGCCGAACTGGCGGAGATCATCGTCTTTGCCAAAGTGCTGGCGCTGCACAAGGAGTCGTACAGCGTGTACAACTACCTGCCGTGGCAGCACGACACCGACCTGCTCTTCTCCGCCGAGATCGAGCTGCAGTGCGACCAGGCGTGGGGCAGCATGCTGGAGGTCCCCGCCGGCTCCAGGTTTAATGTCAGCGGTCTGGGCTACTTCCCCTGCTTCTCCTACAGCGTCACCAAAAACAACAACTACTACTTCTTCCTAAGGTGAACCACTTCTACCTCTAATGACTCAGTGAATTAGTTTCTTGTCACTGATGCACAACTTTTTTTTTTTTTTACTACCATCATAATAATAAACAGCTGTAATATATATATATATATATGCACCAGTCAGTTAAGTGATAGAAAACACACTATAATGCTTCTCTACTCCAACATAAACTGACTTTTTGCTAAAGTTTCAAGCATCTGGTGCAATTTGGTTTTAGATCTGTGTCTCTGTGAGTATCTGTCCTTAGATGACATGACATGAATGACCCACTTACACTCTCATGTCCAGTCCCTCTTGCACACTTCAAGATGTTCGGCCAAAACACTGCACTTAATTCCACTCACCATTTCACCAAATGCAATGTAGATTCATGTCCTGAACATTAAAAAAAAAGTGCTGGGGGACAGATAAATGTGAATTTCTTGTGACAGGTAAACTATTACTTCAGAGCGACATACTTAAATGTACATTTTATTAGATTAGAGGCTGGACGGAAGGGCCGTGCAGCTTGTCTCTGTATGAAACACTGGACTTACATAATGCCAGAACCTCTCTGACACCTGAGACAGACAAATATTTAAACTGGCACAGAAGCGTGCAGCTTATAATTGGGTTATGCGGTGAACATAACCTAACAGTAATCCCATCAGTAAGGTGGTTAACCTTTGGGAAATCTCTATGGGAGTCATTGCTTGTTGCTAATTTTGTAGTTTCTAAAGCCAATATTTTCAACAAATTCCTCATTTAGAGTCAATTCTTTTTGTTTTCTCTGTGTGATAGAAAATCCATGCATTGAACTTCACCACTTCTCTGCTCCTGCTCACTTCTTTCTCATAAAAACCTGCAGCTCTTCAGATCTGCCCTGAGATCTGTCATGGAAAAGGAGGTAATGACTCCCATAGGACTTAATCAGGCAGATGACTGGCATCTATCCTCGCAAAATCCGTCCATCTGTCAGCGCGATACCATCCTAACTTTCAGGTTAATAATGTATTTACTAGCCAGCCAAACCTTCCACTCAAATTTCCAAAAAGTATGCGGCAGGTTAATTCTTAAACGTCTGTGTTGGACAGAAACAACACTGTTACTCAGGAAACGTCTATTGCATTCCAGCCAGTGTAATTACAGAGCCAGACATTTCCCAACAGCTTGAAGGTAAACCTACAAAGAATTTTTCACTCAGGAGAGTTATCAGCACAGCAGCAGGCGGTAGGACCACCTTTTGTCCTGCTGAAATGCACCAGTATGCCATTTGATGAAGAGAACGTGTGCTGACAGGTCGTATTGACATTTCTCTCACATTCTGCCCTCAAACAGATGAAGAGTCCGATATTCAGAGAGGGGACACTGAGAGGCATTCCTCAAGTTTAAAGTTTGGCTGTCGCGCATGAGGGTCGGCAGCCGAGCCAACAACAATAGCGCCTTTACAGCATATGTTACACATCACATATGCAGAATGGCACTCACATGTGTGACTGTGTATTGCTGTGTGGGATGGTGGCTAAAAGGCTGCAATATGATTTTACCAGTCGGAGATAATCGCACCTGCAGGGATGACTTTGTTGTCCCCTGTTGTGATGCTAAAATCTTCCGGATGTTATCCCTCTAATCAGACAGATGGCCGCTATCAGAAACTTCCTGAAGTTATTCACAACAGAGCTCAGTTTAAGTGCAGACCTGAAGATAATTAAGAAGCAGCAATTACTGCAGTAAATGACTTCAGTGGTCTTTGTTTGCATTTACCAAGGATATATATGGAGGGGAACCCCCCACAAATGTTTACCCACATTTCCCTTTGCAGAAGGGTTTAGTGCACAAAGTATTCAGGCTTTTGGGATACAAAGCATAGTTCAGAAGGGTATTTAATAAGGTATTAATTATTAAGAGTTTTATTCATCACGTTTGCACACATAGGATTTACAACACAGTCACATAATGGGCAGCTTTGAACTGTTTGTAATAACAACCAAGATCATTACAGTTTTGTTTAGCAGTGTTTACATACCTGAGTACCCAGTTAAAGCAGCTATAATCAATCTTTTTTTATATCTATCAACAAAATGTAAATATTGTAAGCTGCATAACTCCTAATGAAAAGCAACAGTGAATTATAACCTGAATAGGCAGCTCTCCTCTGTTCTACAGATCTTTGTGTTTCAGTCGAACATGAGGCCCCCCTGTTAGACTAGAGTTAAAATTTTTGCATCCATGAGTCCACTTCAAGGATGCATTCACGTCTATGCATTCCGCTCATACAGCATATATGCACTAAGACTGTTGAAAAGTAAAGGGTATGTGGACGTCTACACAGGGCCTTAGGAACACCATCTGTTGATGAAATTTACACCACTTGGACCCTAGTAGATCCTTGTGGAAGCAGAAAGCAAACACTATCTTAACTAAGTGCTTCAGTAAAATCACAACAGGACTTCGCTTTTTAGTTCTAGTTTTAGCCTACTGATGGGGAGACCCAGGTACATGTTATCACCCCAACTCTCAGGGTGTGAATGGTTGTGAAAGTTCCTCTTGACTCAAGGTGTTATTGTTGGTGAAACTGTCTGGGGAAGAATCTCTGGACTGCGATCTAAGTACCTGCTGGTACACTTATTGGTGTTGTAAATCCCAGTGTTTGTTTAGAGATGGCTGTTCCAGTTTAGCATAGATGGCTCCATTTGCTCCTCTCTCAAACCACTTGTCTTTTCTGTCCAAAACATTGCTGTCCTGAGGAGTTTCCTTTATGCTTTGGATTCAGGTTAAGTGCTGAGTCTTGCCCTGAGGAGCTGGCTTTTCTGTGTTGTGTGGTGAAGCAGTAGTTAAGTCTCTGTTATATATAGGTCTGTCCATTTTATATTGCGCTGGATCGTATATACAACCTTGCTCAGCTTGTGTTTGGGAGTTTTATCCTCAGGGTACCAGTTTTTGTCACAGAGTGTTGCTGAGTCTAAAGTGTGCTGGGATCTTATGTTTGAAGAAAATCCTTCTGTGTTTCTCCACAAGATGACAATGTTTTTCCGCCTGTCCTTCTTTTCATCTCTGTTTGATGATGTACTGTTCTTTTCTGATCTTTTTGCTGACTTACCAAAGGCCCAGTCGCCACAGGTTTTAAATACTTTCCTACTATGTGTGTGCTCCTTTTCCGTTCCCATTTGTCTTGGTAGGGATATTCTCAGCTCTGTGCTGTAAAATTCTGATTACCACCAGCTTATGTTCCAGTGGGAGGTGAGAGTAAAGCAGTAGGTATCTACTGGTCTGTTTCCTTTAAACTCAAGCAGAGTCCAAAAAGGCAATTTATTTTCACTGATGCTTGTGAACCTGATGTTGCTGATAATATTTGTGAAAATGTCTACTTCTTGGGCTTTGATTTTGATCAAGGTGTCATCCACATATCTGAACCATTGGATAGGTGTTATTAACCTTGGGTCATTAACAGATCAAGAGCCATGTGATTTGAGAGTGAGAATAAACCAGTTAGTTAGAAGCGAGGAGGCCTCTTGGATTCATGGGGAGGCATCTTCAAGAACCAAAAAGAAAAATCTAATCACCTTCATGTGAAGAACGTAGGATTACCATAACCTGGATGACTGAGAATCAACACAGACACTAGACTAACTAGGCCCTTTAAGCCTACTGTTTTGTGAACCTGTCCTGCCACCCCAACCTCCTCCCTCTATGTGGACCTTGTGGCTTTTATACGAATGCCGCTGCATTTTCTCTTTCACTCTTATTAGCTAGAGGAGTTGGTCATTGTGAAATGTAAAAATGGGTCATAATAGGGTGCTTGCACAAACTCTCTCTTCGGCATTTTTTTTATTTATTATATATTTTTTTGTTTGTTTTATGGGAGAAAAATCTTTCTTGCACACACAAATGCCAATAATAACTTAACAAGGTGATCTGTCAGTGTTTGTTCACACTTATTTCTGCTGATTCCAAGGGACCAAAAGGGTGGCCAAGACACAGTTGGATTTTTTGGTATATATATATATTTAAATTCTTTCTCATCAATAGTAGTTAATAGTAGTAGTATCTGTCTCTTGAGTGTAGATTAGCAAGCAGTTGGTCAGCTTAGCCTTGTGTGAAGACTGGAACAAGTAGCCTGGCTCTGTGGAAAGGTGAAAGAGTCAGTCTACCTTCTGACCTTAAAGCAGAATACTTAGTGCGTTTGTTTTATCCATAAAAAGAAAAAGTCTAAAAGTGTTGACTTGCAGCTCAACAGGGTGTAACGTGCAAGACTTATGGGCTGGGGGCAAAAACTTTAAGAAGTCACAGAATAACTACCCTGGAGCCAAGAAATTGGCTTAACAAGATACAAAGTGTTAATTAGTGACCTTTAGAGCTTCTAGTAAGCAGCTTTTGTTACCTTCAGACAAAGCCGACTTAACATGCTTTTAGTTTTGTGCGAAGCTGAGCTAACTTGGTGCTGGTGGTAGCTTGATTTTTACAGTGCAGACAACTACTGATTTTCTCATCTTTTGGCAAGAAAGTAAATAAGTGGATCTTCCAGCTATTTCTTCAACTGATCATTGCACTACTGCATTTGATATAAAACATGTGCCCTTAAATTACTTTTGGGTTTGAACCTGAAAGAGATGTATCACAATCATTTTCTATGGCTCTTTGCAGCTTCTGAGCACTTTTGCTGTTGTTGCTGCTCTTCTAAGAGCTGTTTTATTTTACCAAATGTGACATCTAGCACCACAACGCTCAAAGAATCATGGAGAATTTAATTTGTTGGTTTAAAAGAATTAATATATGGCTTAAAAATTGTGTTTGCATGTTCTACTTTTTGGCAGTTTTACTAACATGAAACTCCTCATCATGGACCTCTTAGTTTAGAGTTTCAAAGGAGTTTTGCTGTGGCCAATGTGCAACACCAAGTCCCAAATGCTCTATTAGCAAAATGGAAAACTTCTCATCACAGTCTCCGGTGGCCGTTCATTTCCTGCTCTAAAAGCCTCTAAAACATTGTCTCAGACTAAAATAGTCTTTCCAATCAATCATGAGTATAAGCTTTCTGGACAGCACGAATCAGAGCCTAGCATGGAGAAAAATGCAACTGAGGATCTCCCTCAGGACCTTTAAATGAGACAGATTGAGTGTTCTGCTTCTGCCATATGCTCACTGTAAAAACTTTAGCCTACATTTCACTCCTTTGAGAATTAGAACTTCTCTGTCTAAGGAAAACAATCCAATACAAAAAGAGAAGAAACTTGTACTGAAGCTTCCACTCAAAATAAAGATTTTAAAGCATTTTTTGCATGGGTTGCTTTAGTGCTGTGCAACATGTACCAAAATGATGCTGTCCAGTAATGTATTTTATGTTTCAGTTGTTGAGTTCAGTTTGGTTTAGTAGTTAAAAAAGGGTTCTTTTTAGTTATTTTTTTTGTGGATGATGTGACCTTCTTCCCACTGTCATTACATTTAACCTTTGACATCTTCTGTTGAAGCAAAACATCAGCTTTCCTTTTGCTTTTTCAACATGCACACATACCCACATATACAACAGACACGTATAGTTTCTGATACAGACAGCCAAACTTTTGATGTCCCTGGAGGGATATGAGATTGAATCCAGATGTATGGAAACGCGCTGCTTCAAGACTTCCTGAAGATATGAAACATGCACTCTTAAATCCCTTTGGCTTGTAATTTGCTGGTTTGAGTCATTCACATAATGCTTGAATTTACATAAAAATAGACCAAGGTCTGTTAACAATTCTGCATTGATACGCTTTTTCACCCCCCCTAAAATGTTCTTTTACTAATGGCATATGTTTGTCAGTTTTATATACAGTATATGTATAAACTGTATAAACTAAATCACTAAATGCTCAGTTCAACAGACTTTGGGTTAAATAGCTATAAGTGACTACATCTGCTTCAATTTGAATGGGATCCTGATGACAATTAAGTGTTGCATAATACCTTTGTGTGTCTGAATCTGCATCTGTGTTTGTTTTCTTACGTACCTAGACTTTCCTTGAAAGTCCAGATTTTGTCTTTGTTCACCACTGTGTCAGTACAATATTTTCCCTTTGTGCCATGCAGGATGGATGAGAACTACAATATTGTCCCCCACGGAGTGAATTTCCAGGACCCTATCTTCCCCGATACTGCTGATAACCACCGCATGTTTGCGAGCCTCTTCCAGTTTTCCAACTGCACACCAGGCACCCAAGTCCACAGCTTTACCCCAGAGTGGGAGGCTCAGGAGGACAGCCGGGTACGTAGTCACTCTGAACCACCAGCGTAGACTTGTTTCAGTGTTGATAGAGCATTTGATTATTTTGAACTTGTCAGTATCAGACAGTTAGTCAAAGAAACATCTGTTTGGAGGCAGCTGTGACAGGCTCATGGTGACTTCACACACAGCTCAGGGAAAAGAGTCCAATAAGCCCCAAAAGCCAGAAGAACTGTGAGCACACAAAGAAGATTTAGTATTAAATCCTGTCGTTTTCAAAGGAATACTGTGAAGAAGCTGGCAAGTTAATCTGTTCTTAATGCATGGTAAACCAGAAGCACATTTTCTGAGGTTTAGTCAAACAATGAACTCACTATGTTTAAAGAAAAAAAAACCCCATTAAAAATTACAAATGCAATCAATAATTAAAGGCAAACTGGACCATTTGAAAGTCGCTACTCGTCAGATGCTCATAATAATGCACATGTTCACTTGACACCCCTGCTGTCACTGTTTCATTGATCAAAGCTCATTTATACGTAAGCATCACTGGAAAACTGGCTCCTTGTCTTTGTAAAATCTCCTCCAGTTTGTCTCAGAGTCCACACGTCAGCACATTAATGGTTTCCAGCAACTCACCACAGCTTTATCTCCTTTAATGAATTTAAACCTTTGCCATGATCCCCCTGATTTAGGTCAGTCCTCTTCTGTCTGTTTCTAATCATTTGCTGAGTAGTCATAAAAGCAAAAATCTAAAGAGAATGAAAACATGGTTTTATGTTTCCATGAACAGCAAACGTTGGGTCAGGCCTGTGATTGTAATTACAGAGCGACATCTCAATATCAGTGCTGCTTTCTTACATCATTCTCATTATTAGATTTCCTCTTAGCAAAATAAAAACAGACTTTGTTTTTACTGGTACCGAGCAACCATTGTTTGGACAACTCACCTAAACTCACATCAGATCACATCATGCAACACACAGCATACTATATAATCCAGTGTGAACCGAAGTAAATTAAATGTCAATGAAGTCATTTTAATATTTAACACTAAACTGTATCGGTAATAAAAACATTATTTTAACAATCAGGGTTTTCCCACAGTTTTATATTTCTGACACTAATGCGGTGAAATTTGATTCGATGGGCTACAAACACTGTTGTGACCAGATGGCCAGACACAAAGGCAAAATTAATCGCAGCACTTGGGTTGTGAAAGCTTGCAAATTCAGGTAGCATAATAAAACTTTGCTTTAATGCAGGGCACAGAGATATGTATCTGTTGGTCAGTTCACTTCATCCATCCATTGTCTATACACCGCTTCATTCTCACGAGGGTCCAAGGGATAGGGATGATAATAAAGTTAGGGATCAATAAAGTTTTATTCTAATTCTAATTCTATCCCAGCTGACTCAGGGGAAAAGGCAGGGAACACCCTGGACAGGTCACCAGTCTATCACAGGGCTACAGTTAGAGACAGACAACCAAGCACACTCACATTCACACCTACAGACAATTTAGAATCACCAATTAACCTCAACATGTTTTTGGACTGTGAGAGAAAGCCGGAGAACCCGGAGAGAACCCACGCTGCACAGGGAGAACATGGAGACTCCATGCAGAAAGATCTTGTGCATCCTAACTGGGATGCGAACTGGAGATCTTCCAGCTGTGAGGCGACGGTGCTAACCACCGAGCAGCCCCAGTTCATTTCAGTTCATTTATATGATGCCAATTCACAGCATGAGTTATCTCAAGGCACTTTACATAGTAAGGTGAAGACCATACATACAAAATTATGTCATTGAGAGAAACCCAAAACATCCATCTGTTCCATATGAACAGCTCTTTGGCAACAGTAGGAGGAAAAAATACTTTACCAAGCAGAAACCTCCAGCAGAACCAGGCTCAGGGAGGGCGGCCATCTGACTCAACTGGTTGGGGGGAGGGTAAAGAAGTTTCAGATAGAAAGCAGACAAAGCATAAGAGAGCAATAAACACTTTGGAGGTTTGTGAGGCTGGTAACCACAGATCAGAAACATGTAGCTCTGTAGCTAAAGATACTTGCAGAGGAGGGAAAACACAAACTACAGTATATAGAAAAGACAAAGTTAGTAACATGCAATGGTGGTATGTCAATGAGATAAACAGAGGAGAGCAGAGGAGAGTTGCTCAGTGCATCAGGGGAGGTCCCACAGCAGCCAAATGTTTTTTTTCTTAGATAGCTTTTAAAAGTGCCTCGTCTGAAATGGGAGATGACACTTCTAGTGCATGCTCCATTGCTGAAATCAGATAGTTGGAAGACACACAATCAGACCCATTAGAAGGCCTGCTGGACCCATCAGGCATTGAGAAATTACAGTCTTCCTTTTACACACTGCTCTCCATAGCACGAGATTAATATTGAAATAGAGGGTGTCGATAACTTTCAAATCTACATTAAAATCCTGCCTCCCTCATCTCGTTGTGCGATAGAAGCTTGGATTTTTGTGAAGAAACAAAACACGCTTCCCTTGGAGTTGCAGATTTATGAAGCAGTTTTCTTTTTCTTCTCTTTGAATATAATATCCTACATGTTTGGTTCATGTGATGCACGAAACAGTTCTTGTTGACTGCTGACATTTGAGGGCTGTGTGACGTGCCATCTGCTGCTCCAGGATACATCATCAGCTGAATCATCTCCTACTGTCCAGCCCTTCTGCTCCATGTTGCCACCAAATAACGTACATTTAGAGCCATCCCTCTTAGGTGTATCTACATTTCATTTTTTCATAAATTGCTGCTTCCTGAACTTTTCTTTCTTTCTCCATGTTGGATACTGCAGCACATTCCTGATTGTTCCTCATGTCTTCACTTTATTTACATTACGGGTTGACAGATATATTGTTCCGTGCCAATCATTAGTAATCAGGGAGGCTGATAAATGACATATGGAAGCGCTATACACTTGTGGTAAAAATTAAAATCTCATCAAAATTTAGAATAACACCATAGTTTCAACACTAAGCTTTGCTGAAGTGGCTTTGTTTATTTATGCTTTGCATATGTTGAATTTCAAGAGAACATTTCAACATTGTTGTCACATTACTTGTGACATTTAACCTATCTGACAGTGCCATGGGCACAACGTTGTTTGAGATGACTACAGACAGAGAGAGGCGACTGCATCAGAAGTAATGCATCTATTAGTTCATGTATTTTATCATAAAATAGTATTTATTAGAAAAAACAAACAACAACAACAATACCAATAATCTAAAAAAAATCCTAATTATTAGCCGGCCCTATAATGCTTGACCCCTAGTTTATATATATCCAAAGTGCATGTAGTGTTTACATTCAAATGTCACTTTTCCAGTATATGTTGAACCTGTTTCTGTGCAACATGCTTAATAATAATCAAAAATAGGAGAATAAATATGTTTATTAATATTTTAATCCCAAGTCAGTCTGTCAGGGTGTTATTCAATCCATCTCTAACTGAATGTGTTTATGTGAAAGTCATACCATGTTTGCACAAAACAGTGATGTGCCATTTTATGTCTTCTGCTTGTTCAACTTTGAAACTTTTTTTTTTTTTTGCTTTATAAAGTTTCATACTTCCACAGAGATCCCTCTGGGGTATAACTAAGCACATGGGGGAAAAATCCACAGCTAATATTACAACAAGTAATGTACTAACCAGTGATGTGGGCCGGCAGCCGGCAGCACATTTTTAACATTTCCTCAAAACCCTCAGCGGTTGTTATCTGATGGTAGAGAATTTACATCAGAGTTTCACGCTGGCCCATGTGGAAACATTAGGATCTGCTGAGGAAATCTACACTCAGGCAGACAGGCTTGCAGTCAGAGGCATCTGGAGCTCATTTTTTTCACCTAGGAAAGGTCTGGCCCTTTGGATTGTCTGTCACAGCTTCGCAGGCATGTTGAGTTTCATCTTGCTGAAATAGGGGGAGCATGTTGTGTAACTGTTTTCCTCACCACAGATTGATCTTAGTCGCTACCTGGAGCTACACTCTTGCGTTGTCTTTGGCTTATATAAATTGACTGTTACATAAAGAGCACGACATTGTAATGCTAAAACAATCCACAGACTGTTCCACAGCAAGCAAAATATAATCTTATAAATCCTGCATGATTAATTTCTTGATTTTCCCCCTTTCTCTTCTTTTTCTTTTTAAGCTTGTTTGTTTTTTTGGCTCTTTTCTTTTTTTTACACAAACACTGGAATATGCTGAAAGACTTATGAGCTATTGGCACTGTTTGTTAACCCAAGGAGCGAGCCAGAAGTGTTCTCAAGGAAAGCCAGTATCGAAACAGCACATCTGTCAGGTGCTACGTCATAAGAGTAACAAAAACATATTGAATCTGACATCAGTATTTAATGTGAGACAAAAGTCCAAATGTGATTTCACCCTAATGGCAGTGCAAGATGGAATTCTGTGGGAAACCTTGCAGAAAACGAGCTGATATTGGCTTTCTCTGAGCAGGGAGTTGGAAGTAGCCTGAAAGGACCTGATGTCTTATTTGTCAGTTCAATTCTGTTCTATTTATGTAGTGCCAGTTCACAGTATACGTCATCTGGGGGCACTTTGCATTGTAAGGTCAGTGGGAAATAAAAAGTCCCTCATAAAGGAAGAAACCTCTGGCAGAACGAGGCTCAGGTAGGGCTGCTGTCTGCCTCCACTGGTTGAATGAGGGAGCTGAATGTTGAAATGAGTCGGAGACATTATTGCTTAAAGTGCACTTAATCAAATCCTCATGTTTTTCCAGATATTACAAACACATTTTTTTTGTAATAGCTGGACATAACAAACAAATCTTTTTCTCCTCTCGTCTCAGTTGTTGTGCTCCTCAGTGCAGAAGGCTCTGTTCGAGGAGGAGGAGAGGGTGAGGACTCTCTCACAGAAAGTTCGTACCTTGGAGAAAGCCAACGGCCACCTGAGGGAAAAGGTGAAGACCATGAAACGTCTGCTGCGCCAGGCTCAACGAGAAACAACAAAGGAGCAACAGACCCTCAGCCTCAAGCAGCTCTACGAGTCAAAGACGCCCCAAACTCACCCTGATCAGGACACTGCCCAGGACCAGAAGAACCAGCCACTTAAAAAGGTCCTCTCCAAGAAGCTAAAAAAATAGAGTTTGTCTTCCTCTTTGTTTAGTGTGAAGCAATTTTTTTTTCTAATTATGAGGCGTCAAATCAGACTAAAAAGATAGTGAAAGGTTGGGTGAAGCAACAGCAGCAGCAGAAATACCAAAAAGTTCAGACCAAGTAAAGCTTTAGTCGGCAGAAATTTGGAAACAGCATGCGCTTCATTCACACACACTGATGTAAAAAGAACAGGAAGCTCAGACTCCAACTTGATGTTTGATGTTGATGTAATTTCTAAGTTCTGTCCATCTTGGAAATGCTTTGCTGATATTGACAAGTGTTTTAGTGGATTTATTATCAGACCGTCTTTCAAAATCTTTTTTCATAAATCCCTTTTCTCTTTTTAAGGATGGCCTCAGTGTGTACGCAGTTGTTGCTAATGCTAGTTTTGCAAGTGTTCTTTCAGGATCTGAAGGTACATGCATTTGCATTTGTAAAGAAGTCAATAGGATAGACACCTTGAAATTTCTAAAGCCTGAAAATGGAGTCAAGTAGAGGTGCAGACATTTAGTTTCCCCTCAGACAACTTGAATTACAATTTTCTAAAACACTTTTGCCTGGTGAGGCCAAAAGAACACTGCCTATCCTGCTTTAAGTTGTTTACATTTGTGCCATTGACACTACACCACAAAATGTCTGTTCTTTAAATGATTGTTCTCTGAATAACTGTTGCTGCTGCCTGTCTCCCAACTTTTACCATTGTTTTCTGTCTGTCTGTCTAATTCAGTGGCAGCACAAACATTCTCCAAATATTCGAAAGCTCATTGTTTATAGCTGATGGATGCACTGTTGAAACGTTAAGTAGATAATGTTAAAACATTGGAAATTGAATATCTCTTCTGGTATAACTGTTTTTTGTTTTTTTCTTCCTGTGCTGGACACATCGTGCATTGTGTTAATACTAGTAGCATTCGTTACTTTTGAAATACTATCAAAACGCTTCAAATCACATTTTGTCTTTTGAGACTCCACATTTGGAGAGTTTGTCAAAAATCAGTTCTAACATAGTGGGATACGAAAACATTTTATGAATTGAATGGTGTCAAATAAAGTACTTTATTTTTTTAAGTCTTGTATGTCATTAGGTTGATTTTGGATGCTTAAGAAATATTTGATGTGCAAGGCTGTGAGCTAAAATAAGTGTGTGTGGTATAAGTGGAAATACATAATGCTCTCAGTGTGTACTTGAGAGTTTAATGACACAGGAACAGAGGATATACCAAAAGCAGGTACGTTTTCCCAAGAGTGCATTTTATCTAAGTTCTACTTGGTTCAAATGATTTTGCTGAATCAAAGTTTCATTTTTGTATTTGAATGGAGGGTGTTGAGCACCCACTGAGTCCGGCCTGTGAGCCCAACATGGTACAGGATTGGCTTTTTTCTGTGTCAGAAATGAAAGTTCACTTAAACTGTGTATTTGCTCTTGTTATTATTTCTGCTTTCTCTAAACCATACACACCTGGCTTGCTTTGCTAATAGTATTATCGTTTTTGTAGTACTTACTGTTGCATTTTTAAAAACTGAATAAATTAACTTTTACAAAATGTTGATGTTTTCTGTGTACTAATTGATATAATTTGAAAGAATAATTCAATTTCAATAAGAAAAACTTCCTCTGCAGCACCGCATTCACTACAGCTCGAACTTTTGCATGTCACGCTTTCATGGAAATGTGGGGATCCTGATCCGAGTGTGTAGAACACCTCTGTTTTTAATATTACACCTCTTTGTTGCACAGAGTTTTCCAGACTTGTCCAACCAGCAACAGAAGAAGGTTTCATGTAACAGTTTCAACCAGTTGCGGTTCTTTGACGGACGCTGATGCGCTCTTCACTTTACATTATGCAATGTTCTAAAATTCTTTTGATCTGCAGCAATGATATTTTGATAGAAATGTGTCTAGCCAAGCAGCAGAACAAAGCGACTACTGAGAGAATTAATGCAGATGGATAATGAATGCAAGTGCAAGTTTCAGACTTCAGCTGTTATGTTTCCTGTTTTCCATGTATTCAAGTCAGAAATGATAAACGCTTTCTGGCATGCGCAATATGTTTAGTGCGATTCACTCCTAATAAATCAGAGGTTCTAAGAGAACTGGTACAAGTTCAAAAGCAACATGGACCCTAAATATAAATCGGCCCCATGTTGACCTCTTCCTCTTAAGCTTTTGTCCGGTTGAGATCTGGTGCACATTCAGAATGAACTCAAGACCAATTCAGACACAAAACCATCCTGGCAGATGAAATTTTCAACACCATTTCCAGGAGAGTGAACCAAATTTCTTCCATATGGTGCTGTCTTATAAAACAGGGAACGAGGGGCAGGGTCTGCATGGCGAGGGGAAAAAACAGACACCTTTCAAACATGTTTAATGTCAGCGCGTCTCTTGCAGGATTGTTCTGCAGTAAAGCAGGATATAAAGGAGACATTTACTGGCTTTTCTTCTCGCGCATCACTTGACCTCTTGAGCAAAGAGAGAAAGTGTTGCCGAGGACAGCTCCACACTCCTCATGTTTTTTTATTGGCTGTTCCGTCTCCCTGTGAAACCTTCGCATCAGACATCCTTGCCTGCAGCCAACTGTCAAGATCCCATGGACCCAGGCCAAAGATGATATACACACACTGCTTTCTCAACATAAACCACCATGCACAGCCAAGCTGCAAAACAGATGTCAGGCAAAGCGACTGCACAGTGGTGGTCCCTTCCAGAGGACCTGGCTATCTGTGGACATGGTTTGTTTATCTGGCCTTGTTTTATGGCTGCAAGTGCTGTTACTTTTTTTGGCTGCTCTAGTTTCTTTTATTTAAATTTTTGTGTGTGTGTGTGTGTGTTGATAATCCCAGGGCATCTGATTGGTTAATACATTATATTCTCCCCCCCACTTCATATTTTCTCAAGCAGTTACACTTAGTCTTTCACCCTGTCTGTCATTGCTTCACATAGCAAAATCCACCAGGGGGGTTTCAAACTCTGAGCTTTGTAACCTGACATTAGCTTTATTGTTTCTGTAGATAATTACTTGGGTCTGCACTTGGAAAACCAATTTTCCTACAAAGTAAGAAGCCTGGTTCTTTGTGTTTTGAATTAGTCACCCCAATTATAATAAAAACAAGACTAGGCCAGGCTAGTGACTCTTTCTGGGGGCACATTCACATCTTGAGCTGGCATGCTAACATAGCAAAGCTAATGTTTTCACTTGCTGTTACCTTGGAATATTATAGTTCAATTATTCACTCTTATATTTCAGTCATAGCACTGTTGCCTCACAGCAAGAAGGTCGCCAGTTCGCATCCTGGTGGGGGCACTGGGATCTTTCTGCGTGGAGTTTGGATGTTCTCCCCATGCAGCGTGGGTTCTCTCCGGATTCTCCAGCTTCCTCCCACAAGGTCCAAAAACATGTTGAGGTTAATTGATGATTCTAAATTGTTCGTAGGTGTGCATGTGAGTGTGCTTGGTTGTCACGGGGGGCTGGAGTCTATCCCAACTGACTTAGAGTGAAGGCAGGGGACACCCTGGACAGGTCGCCAGTCTATCACAGGGCTACACTTAGAGACAGATTCCAGAATGCTTTAGGCTTCTAGAATGCTGTAAGATTCTGGAATGTTTATGATTCCGGAATGTTTTGTGCTTCTGGAATGTTTATGATTCCAGAATGTTTTGGGAATGCATGTATGCATGCCACCCCCACCATGGCAACCCATGACATGAAGGCAGATGGACCGTGGGACCTTTTTGCTACCTGCAACAGACTAGGCTTGAGAATGTCCTAAGATACAGTGCATACCGTGGGACCTTTTATCTGCCTATAAAAGTCTACGTTCATAATGTCCTAAGATGCAGTGGTGTAAGATTCCGGAATGCTTTGGGACAGGAGTTCTCAACTGGTGGGTTGCGAACCAAAAGTGGGTCGCGGACCTGTTCTGGGTGGGTCGCGGACAGCTGGTCAAAATTAAATGACATATAATGTGCGTCTCAGGTTGGACATCTTTTTTGATTTGAAAAAACTTTTATTTTGACAGGCATGGTAACCATAGTTTATTTGACGTTCATTTTAAGCGGAAATATGACTTGGAGTGGATTTTCATAATCGGACTGGACCCAAATAGCCTAATAGCCAACTATTCGTTCACTGTGCTGGAATCGGGATATCAATTTTGATCTCCAAATATTCCTCCCACTCCCCCCCGCCGCCGCTGCCCCTACTGCCACCACAGAAACGGTGCTGTCAACGCTAACATAAACACCTAAACTGGCCTTAGTAGCCAAAAGCTGCCTTTGTGTCCCGCCACTTCCAGCCCGTCGGAGCCTGCGTGCACCTAAAAGTCCGCTGGCTGTCGAGAGGCAAGGTGTTGTCACGCTTTTACGAACTTAAATAAGAAATCATCACATTCCTCTCTGAGACTAACTCCCTGTACGCAGAACTGTTTGACAACGAAATGTGGCTGCAGGAGAGCATCAGCTGGTGGAGCTGTCATGTGATCAGACGCTGAAAAAGAGATGTGGGGAGGTCAGCCTTTCCCACTTCTGGTGTAGCGATGTGATGGCTGAGTATCCATCCCTCGCCACTCTTGCAGTTAAAACAATCTTACCATTCAGTTCTGTGTGGCAGTGGCTTCTCTACCTTGGTCCAGTTCAAGTCACAGCAGAGAAACAGGTTGGACACTGAGCAGGATCTGACAGTAGCTCTGTCTACTGTCACCCCAGACTCTGAAACTCTAATCAAGAGTAGAGCAGGTGCCCAACTGTCTCATTAACTTCAACAAATGATCTGATTAGGCCAAAACATTATTTTAGAGTTTTGATATTTATTTTATTCACTTGTGTACATGCACTTGTCATGGTCCTCCTTAGTTTCTTATTAATTTGCTCAAAATGGAATGAAAATATGTTGTTTTGTGGCCTTTTTTATTTTGTGCAGTTTTGTACATGCAGTTGTCATGGTCCAGTTACTATACATGGTTATACGCTCTGAAATGCATGTTGCACAGGAAAATATATTGAATATTGAATTTAAAAAAAAAAATTGGGTTGCGACTTAATGACCATGGGAAAATGTGGGTCCCAGGGTGAGACCAGTTGAGAACCCCAGCCTTAGGATTCTAGAATGCTGTAAGATTCCGGAATGTTAATGATTCCGGAATGTTTTGGGGATTGAATTTTTTCTACTTGATGGTGCATCTAATGACATGTTATGTTGTCACCAAAGTCAGTTAAAGTCAGCAGTCCCCTGTGCAACATAAATATCTTTACAATATTTAGGAAAATCCATCTATTATTTGAGATATTTCAGTTTGCATGCTCCAAAGAGGTGGAAACACTGAGCAGCCACACAGCCTCACTGCTAGAATAGTCAAATATATAACATGAATTGGAAAAACAAAAACAAACCAAAAACTTGAAATTCAGGTCAAATTTCATTAAAAGATTTTTTTTAAAAAAAGATCCTATGTTGTAGCCAAGTGCAAGGCTTTGACAGTTTGCAGCTCTACAACCCTGCCTTTCAGTCTTTCGCTTCACAAAGCGAACATTACCCAGCACCTCCATGAACATGCCTTTCATCTGAGTGGAAACGTTTCCTGGCCGTCTCTTTACACTTTATCAGCTGTACTCTGGCGAAGAGGAGGTGATTTTTCATTGTTGCCTGTCCACGTCTGTTTCAGTAAGAATGACTGATATGTGTGCGTTTCCCTCAGAGACCACTGCTGTTCCAGTCTAACTAAAATCACAAAACCAGGCCTTCAGCTCTGCTCCGTACTGTAAGCTCAATCTCATTACCCGAGAGCGGAAAGGAAATGCAGCACAAGTATCTTGGTGAGCCAGAAAGAGTGAGCTGAGCATTCTGCTCGAAGGCTGCAGTAATGACCGTAACACCAGATTGAATTCCTCGGCCCAGATATGGCACACAAAAAGGCCACACAATAAAGGTCACAGTTCACACTTTTGGTCTCATTTTTGTTTTTTCATTCTGTGAAACAATTTGTCATGTTTGCTTTTACTGGTGAAAATGCATAAAACATTAACTTTATTTCTGACTGCTTCAGGAGCACAAACAAGTCGTTTACTTATAGTCTTTCCTATGTAACTAATTTCTTTTCTTGTCCTCCTCTTACCCCTTTTCTTTCTCCTTCCACCCCTCACTTGTAATTATTCCTTTCTTTCTCTGGATTGCTGATGAGGTCCATTAGTAGAGTAGGAGGAATTCAAGTTCATGTGTTTGCTGTTAGCGCTGCATATCTGTTTTTATATCTAACGGTTAGACTCTGGGACGTTAGGTTTATATCGCCATATTTTCCTCTGCGGATGTTTACAGCGTTTTTGACTGATTGTTCAGGAGTTGAGGCTTGTTCTGGGTTTGCAGCCTGGGCTCTATTTGAGGTTCGTGCATAGTTTTGAGGAGAGTATGCTGTGGGTTTACTGTTTTTTTGTAAACTAGTGATGGATGATATTATTTTGATTGTTGTGTACATCTCAGATTTTGGGTATTTGTGGGCTGAATGTTGCTGCTTTCTTTAGAAACCAGTGGTTCAGAAGTTATGCAGAGCT